GAAAACTTTTTTATACTATCTTCTGCGCTTTCATTGTTAATCACACAGTGTTCTTGGAAGTTATCATTCTACAGGCTTCTACAATTTATTGTCTTAATTACCTAGGTGTGACTGTTCTTATTTTTATTATCTTCATCATTTGTGGTTGACTTTTCTTATCTTACTCTTTCATCCTTTGTGGGTTTAAGAGGTTTAAGTTAATCAATTATGTTATTCATCCTTTGATTTATTTAGAAGAGGTGTTCATCCCTGGTGTGATTTTAGGGAGGTGTTCATCCTTTGTGTATTTGTGGCAAAGGAGGTGCTTTTCATTCTTAGTGTGATTCTAGAAAGGTATTCATCCTTAGTGGGATTCTAAGGAGGTGTTTTCATTCTTTGATTTGTTTAGAGGAGGTGTTCATCCCTAATGGGATTCTAGGGAGGTGGTCATCCTTAGTGGGTTTCTAAGGAGGTGATTGTATTTTAAATTAGTTTGCTTTTTGCTGATTTGATTGTAATTTGTAAACTGAATTTGAAAGATAACGAATTGGGGTCACTCTTGTGATTAGAGTTGACTGAGAACTGGATGTAGGGTTGACTATACCCGAACCAATATAAATTACTGTGTGCTCTTCTCCTCCCTATCTCTCAGTGCTTACATCCCTCCCCTTTTAACTCTCTGATTATATTATCATTTCCGTTTTATCTTTGTTCAATTTGATAATTAAAATTGAATTAATAAATATTGAACATCTTAAAATAAATTTTAAATTTAGCATCTATTTTAATTTGTGCATCTATTCACTCCTTTTTATATGTCATTTGTCTAACATAAAGAACTCTCCTATTGTCCTTCTGAGTTTCGTCCACCATTGTTTCTACCTCTAAAACCTCTTTTATGACCTCTCTTGTTTGATTTTCCTCAATTACCCTCATGCTTTTGGTTTTGTTTCATCAACAAGGTTTGTTCCAAGTTTGACTTCTCTTCTGCTCTCTCACGTAAACATTATTCATAAGTCTCCAATGACCCTATAATTCATCCAACTTTAACAAATCTAGATCCTTAGATTCTTTAATAGCAACAAAAATTATATTGAATTTTGCATTGAGGGTTCTCAACACCTTCTACCACTCATTCTTTCAAGTTTTCACCACACAATTTCATCAAGTTTGTGATCAACAACAATCTTGCAAAATATTTTTAGATGATTTTTTGTGTCCCCATTTGCAAAAACTCATATTGACGATGCAAGATTTGAAGTCGCACTGTCTTTTACCTTTCTACACTTGCATAATTCTACGCCAATATATCCCAGGCTTTTTTTTGCAGTGTTTGCCAACAAAAACTTCTCAAAATTGCTTTCATGAACACACTGATGAATATCAAAAAAAGTTTTGCAATCACGTTTCTTCGTCTCTAAAAACATTGCACATTGTGCTTTAGTGAGATTCTTCGATAATCCCTCATATCCATTCAGAACAACGTCAATACTTCTTGGAACCAAAAAAATAACATTTACCTTCACGCACCAACTATCGTAAATGTTTAAGTTCTTGTTATCAAGCATTGCATGATGTCATGCAACCTAATTTCTGTCATCGTCATTGATCTATTTCTTTCTTTTTTTTTCTTCCTTCTTTTCAGATATTAAAGCTCTTAATACCACTCTTAACGAAAAAGGGTCTAAAACATATATCGAGAGACAGATAGAAGAAGTGTATCGAGAGAGAAAGAGACACTGAAGTAATATGTGTATTCACATTATACACTCATTCATACAACTGTGGACAAATACTATAGAGATACAATATTTATAACAGAAATTGAAAGTTAATTAAGCTAACCAACCTAATGAAAACAATTACTACATATAACTGCTAAACTATTATCTAATAGTTTCCCCTCGATTGGATTAGAACTTTTGGATATCTATTGTGTGATTGAGGTTAATGCTCTATGTCTCTACTCTTTTACTGAAATTGAAATCGTTGTTGTTTTTAGGATTTCAATCACGATCATACATAAATGTCTTTGTATTGAAACCTCCGAGGAAGAATATGAAGTCTCATAACTTTATCAAGCAAAGTTGAAGGATAGGGGTAAACAACGTGAAATCAAGAGGAACAAATATGGTAACAAAATCCAAACTGCCTGAATAGTCCTTCTTTATCCCATAAATAATAGAATCCAATGCAATTGAGAATGAAGTGTATCCCTTTTGCACAAAACAAGTGAACAATGCAATTCCACTTAAACCGTTCTTGGAGAGAGAGCCATTGAAGGAGTTGGAAAAACAAGTGTGGGAGTGAATAAAGAATTCAAACCCAGTTGAAAAAGGTTTTTAACGTACAAAAATGTCATACATAACTAGTTGATCTTTGAGAAAAAAATTAAGGTTCCTTGGGACATAAATTTACATCAAACAGTACTATAACCAATGTAAATTTACATTAGGTGTACAATATTTGACGTAAAATTATATCAATTAATTACTTCAATGTAAATTTATATCTCTATCCTTGATATCACAACTTAATCAAACTAAAAAAAACTAAAATAATATATGTAAAAAATCTCTTATATACTAGTAAATATATTATATTAATTAAAAAAAACTAAAATAATACATAAACAATAATGAAAAATCATGATAAAATATCTCATTTCAATTAAAAAATACAATAATTATATATATATATATATTCCTCGTCCATTTTATATAAATAAGTAAAGTATCTTATATTTTTAAAATGAGACTATTCTTAATTTAAAATTAAATTTAAAGTTAGACTCAAAACATATTCCTCGTCTATTTTATATAAATAAATAAGTAAAGTATTTTACATTTTTAATATGAGACTGTTCTTCATTTAAAATTAAATTTAAAGTTAGACACAAAACATATTTTATTTTAAGAGTAACCGTGACAAATAAATTATTTGAATCTTGGATGGATTATTTGTTAGTCTTTTTTAATCATAGATTAACAACGTTTTACCTTAGATTCCATAGTAACAAATTTGTCATTATCATATTTTATTTTTTTATTTTTTCTTTTTTTTAGGGTACATTCCATAGTCTAAATCAGAATTGTATTTTAATATTAAAATAATAAAAATTTGAAACTGAATCATAGTTTATTGGCCTCCAATCATGACTTTCTCCTACTTCTTTTTTGGTTTTCTCTGTCACTTACTTATTATTGCACATGGCATTGTTTCTACAGTTGAAAGTTAATTGCTGGCATTACACCTTTCCAACCTCATCTTATTCCTTTCAAGAAAAACACTTAAAAACAATAAAATTGAAACCTAAACCAAAGTCTGAATCGGACCAATGATATATTAATATATTTTTCTGTTTATTAAACAACTAGGATATGATGATGATTATTATTATTATTATTATTATTATTATTATTATTATTATTATTATTATTATTATTATTATTATTATTATTATTATTATTATTATTATCTTTCAAATATGATATTCAACACATATATTAATGTCACAAATCAAGAGTACCAAATTAGCTAGCGCAAATACCATGACAATAATGTATTAAGGCTGATTTTATTTTATTTTAGTTTTTAAAAATAGTTTTAAAGATTAACTTTAAAAGTTATTTTTTAAAATACATTAAAAAGCAATTTATTTAATATCTTAATTTAAAAACTATTTTAAATAAAAGAGAATGACATAAATAACAACAACACTGGAAAATTAAAAATCACGTTTAATAACTTTATGGTAAAAAATATGGACAATAAAAATCTAGAAAAGCAAAAATAGAAACACTTTTTTTTATCAGTTTTAATTTTTAAAAAACTAAAAAACATAATTATTAAAAATTGTTTCAACGAAATTATCAAGATTTTTAGATTTTGAAGTTTTAACATAATAAATAAACAAATCCTAATTGTCTTTGTTAATATTTATGTTAAATATAAACAAGAAGTGAATTAAAGTTATATAATTATTAAAATAAAAAAAATCAAATCAATAAAAAAATAAAACTCTAGGAGATCAAAATTGAATTTGGATTATAATAAATAAAGTAAATATATAATTAAACCTGCGTTATATAACTAAATTAATGCGGATCATACCACATTCCGCTTTACATTTTTATAAATTTTTTTCACTTGTTTTGTTTATTTTTAAAAATTGTTTAATGAAATAATTATAAAAATATTTAAACATATCTCTTTCAATAAAAAATTACTTTAAACAATTGATACTGTATTTTTATTTAAATAAATAAGGTTGCACTAACCCATTGTCCTTTCTCAGTTCTAATTGAATCCAATTAATCGTATAGTTATGTCAGGTTAAATTTTAAAAATTTTATATGATAAAAGAAATTTATTTTATAAAATATCAAATAATTTTAAATTTATAAAAACTGTAAATTTCAGCTATGAAAAAAAATGTAGTTCATCTGGTTTTCTTCTTTTCATTTTATTTATTTATTTATTTATTGGCGTTATTAATTTAAGATTTGACTGAACCATCTCTCACAGTCATACACTGAAATGTGGAAAGTGAAATGGACCTCCTGCTTAAATTATTAGAACAAAGCAACATCATCAAAATCCGTAGACACACATTATTAGAGCAACAAGAGCCAAAAACTGGGTTCACATTAGCAAACAGAGAACAAGGATTAGGATATGAACAAGTTTCTTGTAAATTACCATGAACCAAAATAAAATTAAAAAACTCATCCAAAACTTATTACATAGCTAGTATTTCTCTATACACACAAACTCATTGTTGTAACAATATATTAATCTTACACTCCCCGTCGTCGTTGTAAAAGAAAATTTCACAGACCCCTTTGCACATTGCTTTGAGAAAAGCTCAATCCACCTCGAACCTCGTCGTGCATCAATCAAAGTTTCACCTATATCACATGCATAGTTAAAGTTTGTGCGTAAACTTCAATGCTGATAAAAGAACGCATCTAAATTTTGTTGAAAAACATATTCACATTTGATGTTTTTTTTTTTTTTTATTAAGAATCTAGAGAAAATGGGGTGCGTAAAAGATCGTAAGGTGCCCAAAGTGCATCGAGAGGACAAGGTGTATTAGCGTCCAATCTGACCCAGGGTTTACCCTTTCCACTCCAATGTAACAAACTAACAGGACCAGGGTGAAGATCCCGACACAGACCACGGAAGTTGTCTCCTCCGAGACCGTGCTGGTTCCACCTATGATCCACAGGAACAATGTTCCCAGCAAACACAAGCAAAAACGGCGGCAACGAACCCAGTTCGTAGATTCTCATCCTCTTCTGAACCTCCATCCACTCCTCAATCTTCCTCGTGTACTCCCCCTCGCGCCACCGCTCCAAATCAATCACCATCACTCCCGTGTTGAAGTAGCACGCGCTCCGCTCCGCGAATGTCAGAGACAGCGAAGGGTTCGACCAAAACGTGGGCGTGAAGTAGGAGGTGAAGTTCGCGTTGCAGTATTCCGGCGCCGCCAGCACACTGTCTGCTCCCAACGGCGTCGTTGCGAGTTTCGCGATGTCGTCCACTAGTACGAGGTCGGAGTCGAGGTACACCACGCGCTTCACGCAGCGTGGGATTAAGTCGGGCAAGTAGCTGCGCGCGTAGTTGAGGGGGCAATCGAGTGCGGCGCGGATTGAGGTGGAGATGAGGCCGGAAACGACGCCGTCGTGGAAGGGGTAGATTTGAAAATTGAGGTAGGGGAATGAGGTGGCGACTGTGGCGCGTAGGAGGGACGCGTTGGAGGAGCAGACGAAGTGGAAGAAGATGTTTTGGGGGCACAAGGAGTGTTGGAGGACGGAGAGGATCGCCGCCATGGAACCTCGGGTGTATGTCGTGTCCAGCGTCATTGCCACGTGAACAGCTTCTTGGGAGCATACGTTTGAATGTTCGGCGGCGTGGTGCTCGTGTTGGTTGGAAATGGAGGGGCATTTTGGGGAGTTGTAGAATTGAGGGGCTTCTTTGAATTGTTGGGTGAAGAGGGTGTTTGTGTAGGATTCACACGGGAAGAAGAAGATGAAGAAGAAGAGGGAGAGGGTTATCAGCAAGTGGAATAAGTGGGGTGGTTCCGATTTTAGATTGGACTTCATCGTGTGTGTTATGAGAATGTAAAAAAAAAGAAAAAGAAAAAAGACAGAGATCTACGGGGTGGCTTATAATTGGAGTTGGAGGTTACAAACACACTTTTGAGATAGCTAGCAAAGTTATTAGAAAAAGAAAAAGAGAAAGTCAAGAATATATATGAAGAAAATAACGAAGGGAAAGTTGGTGGAGTTCACATTGGTTTTGAGCTTACTAATATTATAATAGTTTTTTTTGGGAGTAGGATGGGGACCCTTGCTCTCTTCTTAAGGTTCTGAACTCCCATCGTGTCTTAATAACTTGTGCTTTGTAGGTCGTGTCTTCTTATGGGCTATGCACCTGGTATTAATACTGGATATTGAAGCATGGATGGGATGGGGATGTAAAATAGCTTATCCAATTACACGTCTATGAAGGAGGAAATGTATCTCAATTTCATAGAGACAAACAGATCGTATCTTCATCCTTCCTTCAATTTTCATTTTTATTACTTTTACAATTTCTATAGTAAAAAATAAACAAGTTTTTAATTCTAACTTTAAAATAAATAAATCTCTTCTTTATTTATATATAAATAATTAAATCAAATAATATAAATGTCAACTTTTCTTCTAACCTGGTCTACACGAATACAAGAGGATTTAACTAAAAAGTAAACCTCGTTGGTTACATGACTATATATTTTAATTATAATTACTCAAACTAGATATGATTATATATTAATTATGTTTACATGCTTCTTTAGCCAATATGTCAATAGTAGTATATGTTGGTTTTGCTTACAGATTCAAACTATAGACTATAGAATAATTAAGCACTTGATCTTCAGTTATTTCTTTCTTTATAGAATAATTATAGTGTGACATATCTTGTAAGTTATTTAAGAAAAATATTTCAACAAATTTTTATAAAATTAAAATATTATGCCAGAGAATGAGTATATATATATTATCCCCACTAATACCATCAACATCAATTTATTTTACTATAAATAATGTTAAGACATGAGATCCATAAAGATGTAATATTGCTCTCATAATCCCATTATAGCAACATACATAGGATATCTTAAAAATACAATAAAAATTGAGTAGGAAAAAAAAAAAAAAGTTGAAAGGCAACACTTAGTTTGCAAGCAATTGGACATTTTAGCTTTGAGGATAAACAAAGCATCACATTGCAACTTCATTACTACTTGTTTAAACTTCAAGATATTAATTACTACTTATATCACTATATTAAATTCATTAAATATCAATCATTTAAATACAAAAAAATATTTGGTGATTATAGTAGTTAAATTAAAATTTATTTTAATTATATTACTTTTTAAATTAGGATCTAAATTGACCTTTAACTTTAACTGCTAAAATTTTAGTTATTATATAAAAATTAGTAGTTAAAATCTTAATAACTCAAATAAGAAACAAAATTAATTTTTAATTCAAAAATTAAAATAACTTATAATTCAATCAATATAATATATAAAATGAGAATGTCAGATGGAGAAAAACATTATGAATAACAACACAGGCTTGCATTTAGGTTTGAAGAATAAAGTGAAACCGCGTTAACTTTTTTTTTTTTTCTTTTTCATTTTTATAATTTGTCTGTTTGTGAAAAGAAAATGCAATGATATAACTAAAGTTCAAAATATGGGAGCACCGCCCTTTGAACCATATTTAAAACGCGCTTTTCCCCCACAATTGTTTCAAAAGTCATCGTAGGCTCTGTTTAATAAAAAAGTTTCATAAAAGTTACTCTTTTAAAAACTGCAACAGGTCAAATTGAAAATAATCTGATTTTTTTTTAAATAATTAAATTTTAATTAAATCAATATAAAATAAAAAAATAAATTAAATTTTTATTACGAATTAATTTTAATAAAAATTATAAAATATTCTTTTTAATAATTTTTTATAAAAAATATAAGAATTTTTATATTTTTGTTTCACATTAATCATATATGTCAAATTTACATAATATTTATTCTATTATATTTTTATTTTATTTTACAATTATTAATTTATTTATTTTATAATATATTTATATTTTTTTAATTTTAATTATTATTTATAATAATGATAATAACAACATTTATTATTATTTATTTATAAAACATATTATTGTTAATAAATTTTTTTATTATATAATTATATAATAAAAATAATTATTTTATTAAATCAAGTTTTTGTAATTAAAATTTTAAATTCTAAATTCATGTATCACCAAAACTTTTATGCAAATAATTAATATCTTAAATTTAAAATTAAATCGTTGAAGTCTTATCTGAAATCATTTCTTTATAAAATTATTTATTATCAAAATTTACTTATTTAACTTATTTAGTTAAAATTAAGTTTTAAAATGACAATGAAAAAAAAAACTAATTAAATGTTGTTATACGTGGTGCTATGTTGGTAGTAATCCAATGTCACTATCAATTGAAAGTCTTATTCGTTTTCTAAAAAAAAAAATCAATTCCTTTTAATGTTTTCTTATGAATACGTTTTTTTTTCTATATTTGTTAAAATCTTACTTGATTTGCGAGTATATTTAAAAAATGTGTCAAGTGAGTTTTTTTTTTATTTAGTGTGGATTACTATAAAAATAATCAAGATTCAATTTTTTTATGTAACTTAAATATTTTATAATTTGACTCGATGTCCTATTAATAATTTAAGTAGAACGATTCTCTTAAATATATATATATATATATATATATATATATATATATATATATATATATTTTTTTTTTTTTTAAATTATTAAAATAGATAATTTATTTATTAAAGTAAATGAGGTTAAATATATATGATTCTCTAATTTTTTTTTTAGACTTACACTAATAAAAATTTTTAAAATATTAAAGATTGTCCAATAAACCTTTATTTTAGATTGTAAGAAGTAAAAGAGTGTGAAAGAAATAAAAAAGTTAAAATAAAATAATATATTTAAATGAAAATAAAATATTTATATTATTATATATTAACATTATATTAATTTATTATATTTTAAATTTTAAATTTTTATTTACTTATAACATTTGAAATATAATTAATTATGAGGAACACAAATAATATATATATATAAAAAGGATAGCAACGTTGTCAAAATATAATTCTTACGTTGTGTTCTCGGATAATTTTTTTACGAAATTTTATCATTACATTCAAGAAATTAAATAATATATTATTAATAAATAATAAATAAATATAAAAAATTAAATTTATAGATAAATATATTTAATCATTTGATGTTTTAAAGATGTTTATCATGTTCATTTTAATATAATATATTAATTCTTACATCTGATATTATGATTTTTGTTATTTAGAATTTTATTTTTAAAAAATATTTTAATAAGGGGAAAGAGGAGATATATTTAAATTATTAAGACTAATTAACTTATTAAAATATAAGAATATGTAGAGAAATTTTTTTCTATGATACAAATAATGAATAGTACAAAGATATAATTGATAGAAAATAATTAATATAATATTGAAAATTTACAAAATGACATTAAAAAAATTTGATAATTAGCAGAGTAAAAATCTAAACGTGATTTTTAATAAGTTAAGGTAAATTAATTCTAATGAAATATCGTAAAAATCAATAAAATTAAAGATACATTTGTTTTAAAAATAATTTTTAAAATTTTGAAAATAAAAATAAAAATTAAATGATAAGAAATATTTTCTATTTTTTATTAATGAATATCAATGTTTGATTTGTAATTATATAAAACTTTTTATGATATCTACTCTTTTATTCAAAATAAAGTTTTTAAATTAATTTTTTAATAAAAGTCACTTTTTTTATGCTATCTACTCTTTTATCTAAAACAATTTAAAAAATAAAATTATGAAATATTTTTTAAATTTATTTTAAAATTGTTTTTAAAATTATAAAACAAAATTAAATCAAGCCAACCCTTACTCTTTTTCAAATTAATATTATAAAATAATAGCTTTGAATGCTTTTTCACATTTAACTTTATTCCAAAAAGAAAGAAAAAACTAAAAATGTTTGTGCAGTAAAGGAGGAGTGAAACAAAGTGTTGTTACATGGATTACAGTTGTCAAAATTGGATGAAGTTGTTAGGAGGTTTTAAGGGAGAAAAGTACACACGAGTATTATTGCTTGCATTGCATTGCATGTGGAAAGAAAATGTACAAAAATTGTACCCTGCTTTAGACTTTTCATGCCCCTTTACAGTTTAGAATGACTACAAATTTAGTCTTCCTTTGCATCATTCCTATTTTATGATTTATACTATTATATATAATTAAATTAAAAATATATATACAAATATTTAAATTTTTATATTTTTATAAATAACAATAAAATATATTTTTTAATTATTATTTTTAAAATGACTATTATATATATATATATATATATATATGAGATTTTTTAAGAAAAAGATAAATTTGATGAGAATACAATAAATACCATGGAATGGAAAGAAAAAATTAAATCATTATTTTAGTTTATAAAAAAAATGATAAAAAAATCCTGATTAATTAGTTCAATTATTGTTAAATTTTTATGTTTAATTTTTCAATTATTTTATACTGAGCAAAACAAAATTCTTAGATTATAAAATAATCATTTCACCTTTACGCTGTTATATTTTTTAAATTAAAAGTATAAATATAATTGTTTTTTTTTCTTTTTTTTTTCAACTTCATCATAAAATATTAAAAAAATTGAAGTTTCATTTGAATTCTATCTCTCATCAATTTATTTCATTTCATGTTATTACATTTTTTTTTTCATTCTCTACCATTAATTCAAATAGAATATAAGGTAAATAATTAAACAAAACTCTTGTTTTTGCTAGAAAGTTATACCGTTTGTGACCCAATTTAAGTAAGTTAAGAGTAAAAGTGATATAGTGATAGTAAGTTTTAAGTTTTACCATTTAAGCTGAAAAAAATTATAAATATAAAAGTTTAAATATTTAAACTTTATTCTCACAAAATCATCATCTCTCTACAAT